GTACCTAAAGTGTACAAAAGTGTACCTTTTTGAAAAGGTACTGCCCCAGTGACGGCTTTTGTACCTTTTTTTCTGAGAGTAGGTAACCAAACACGCTAACACTTTAGTTTAAGGACCAATAACTTGCATGCATATGACTAGCATATTGGTTTATTAGTTCTTATAAAGCTCATATTAATGCCTTATTATTCTGCATGAGCATATTTTAGATCTCTTAATCCTAAACCGCATAGCTAAACTTAACAACTACCTTACTAACTATTAATAAGCAGCACATTAGGAGTTTATTGAGGCTAAAGTTGTAGTTAATAGTGAGGACTGGACCTTAATAATAAATAAAGCGTAATCAAAACACATTTTGTTTGCGAAAAAATACCCTAGTCCACATTTTTACCTGTAAACCAGTCAATCAAGTTTAATTTTTTTCTATTTGCTCTTGTCATGCTTATTTGTGGCTTCCCCATGCCATGTCAAAGTATATGTGTATGTGTGTGTGGCTTTATTTACATATACTAGTATATTTGCACAAGAAATGGTCCCTCACTGAGCTGTTTTGCATGCTGTGTGCCTGCTGCTTTAGCTGACACTGAGCGTGAACGGCTGCTTTGTTTTTCTGAAGCTGCACCCTGATATGTGTCCACCTGTCACTCATTCCCACTGCATTTCTGTCAGCCTTATTATGCTGCATACTAGAAATGAAGATAAAGTCGGTTATCACCCGATACCTGGAGAACATTTTTTAAGAGCAATAATGTTTTATTAATAAAGGAGATTATATTTGTTCTTTGCTATATATACACACTACCATTCAAAAGGTTAGGTCAGTAAGATATTTTAAATAAATATATATATTTTTATATTTAATTTTGTATTTCTATTTATTTAAAGAAATTAATACTTTTATTCAGCATGCATTCAATTAATCAAAAGTGACTATATATATATATATATATATATATATATATATATATTTTTTTTTATGTGACCCTGGAGCACAAAACCAGTCATAAGGGTCAATTTTTCAAAATTGAGATTTATGCATCAGCTGAATAAATATTTCCATTGATGTATGGTTTGTTAGGATCGGACAATATTTGGCTGAGATACAACTATTTGAAAATCTGGAATCAAAGACTGGACTAATGATGCTGAAAATTCAGCTTTGATCACAGAAATAAATATTTTTAACAGAGATTCACATAGAACACTTATTTTTAAATTGTAATAATATTTCACAATATTACTGTTTTAATGTATTTTTTAAAAACTTGTTTTATCAGTTAAATGCAGACTTTAAACACATACAACTCCAAATGTTAGTACATGTACTGTATACACACATACACTCACACACACACACACACACACACACACCTTTGACCTAATAAAACTTAAAATAGTTATTAAAAAAATCAAATAAAAAATACAAGTCACATCACATTTTAGAAAATATATAATCAATTTATAATATATTAAAATGTTTCTATATATTTGTCAATTCATACAGTCATATAATGTATACAATTATATTTAATGTAATCACATGATATTATTGTGGTGTAATATTGCTGCAGATGACACAGGTGTGGACATGAGCTGATGGACGGGCTCCAGGACCTCAGTGAGAGCACAGGTGCAGCAGACACAATGTTTCCAGAGGTTTCTCCGTCTCACTCCCACACACATTCCTCTGCCCTTCAGCCTCAGCGCTTTTATTCCTTCCAGTTTAACTCTTACCTGGCACTACTTGTGATTTACAGACGGACAGCTTCAGAGGAATGATGCTCGCAGTAATCATGTCATCATAGTTTTATGTCTCTGATTCTCATGTCTCCTACATTATTATTATATTCATTTATTTCAAATATTAGGCTGTTTAAAATATTTTCATGCAAGAATGTATAAGACCAAAAGTAAAGTGATGAAGTCGTTTTATTGAGGAAGATGCAAGTTTCTGACAAACTTCATTGGAAGCGATTGTTGGATTGGTGCATGAGAGCACACCTGAGCCTGTTGCAGTCTGACCTGTCTTACCGCCTCATTTGTCATCTCCAATCACAAGCTCTTTTGAGCGGAGCTGAAAGACGAGGAATTATCAGGCCTCGCTCGGTGATGAGAGCTCAGCCTGCAGCTCAAAAGAGAAAGTATGTGAGAACGCCAGCAAGCTGAACATGTAAGAACACAGGCAAACACTCTGCTCTGCCAGTCCCGCATCGGCCAAAGACTGACTCGTGCTGCAAGTATTTCTGACGTTCAGGCATTGATTAGCCATGATGAGCCATTATTTATTTATTTGCATGTGCATTTATTTCATTATCTATTTATTTATTTGCATGTGCATTTATTTAATTATTTATCTATTTATTTATTTGCATGTGCATTTATTGATTTATCTGTTTATTTGCATGTGCATTTATTTATTTATCTGTTTATTTATTTGCATGTGCATTTATTTATTTATCTATTTATTTGTATGTGCATTTATTTTAATTATTTATCTATTTATTTGCATGTGCATTTATTTATTTATCTGTTTATTTATTTGCATGTACATTTATTTATCTGTTTATTTATTTGCATGTGCATGTATTTATTTATTTAATTATTTATCTATTTATTTGCATGTGCATTTATTTATTTATCTGTTTATTTATTTGCATGTGCATGTATTTATTTATCTGTTTATTTATTTGTATGTGCATTTATTTATTTATGTTTATTTATTTGCATGTACATTTATTTATTTATCTGTTTATTTATTTGCATGTGCATTTATTTATTTATCTGTTTATTTATTTATTTTTTCACAAGACTGATGTCTCAGAGAGATTTACAATTATGCAGGATTGTTATTACTAAAATAAAGCAATATGCTCTTGTGTCAATAACCAAGTGATGTTGTGATTTTTGTGAGTACAGTGTTTTGCAATTTGATATGTGCACTTGTTCATAGTAAAAATGTTGATTGCAGTTCAGTTGACACATGCTTTGGTAAGGCAATGGTGCAAATCACAACTTCAGAGACCTTTTGTTATACGAGATGTAAAAATACTGGGAGCACAAGTTACATTACGAACAATGAAAAACAGTATGTACATCCTATACTTTCATTATTAACTATGAAAAATACTTCTAAAGCATTTATTAATCAGTTAATTCCAACATGTGCTCTGGTCACACTTTATTTAAAGGAACAATTCTCACTATTAGCAAACCATCAACTACGACTTTTGCCTCAATAAACTCCTAATGTGCTGCTTATTAATAGTTAGTAAGCTAGTTGTTAAGTTTAGGTAGGATTAGGGATGTAGAATATGGTCAGGCATTAATATGTGCTTTATAAGTACTAATAAACAGCCAATATGTTAATAATATGCATGCTAATAAGCAACTAGTTAATAGTGAGAAATGGTCCATAAACTAATGTTGACACATGCTTTGGTAAGGCAATGGTGCAAATCACAACTTCAGAGACCTTTTGTTATACGAGATGTAAAAATACTGGGAGCACAAGTTACATTACGAACAATGAAAAACAGTATGTACATCCTATACTTTCATTATTAACTATGAAAAATACTTCTAAAGCATTTATTAATCAGTTAATTCCAACATGTGCTCTGGTCACACTTTATTTAAAGGAACAATTCTCACTATTAGCAAACCATTAACTACGACTTTTGCCTCAAACTCCTAATGTGCTGCTTATTAATAGTTAGTAAGCTAGTTGTTAAGTTTAGGTAGGATTAGGGACGTAGAATATGGTCAGGCATTAATATGTGCTTTATAAGTACTAATAAACAGCCAATATGTTAATAATATGCATGCTAATAAGCAACTAGTTAATAGTGAGAAATGGTCCATAAACTAATGTCTAACCAGTGCTCTTTTAAAATCAAAAGTTGTATCTGTTAATATTATTTAATGGAGCGACATAATCTAACAATGGTGCATTTTTATTAACTAACGTTAACAATGATTAATACTGTAATAACGGTATTGCTTATTATTAGTTAACATTAATGCATTGATGTTAACATTACCAAAACATTTTTGGCTCATTATGAAACTCCGGCAGGAGAGATTAGATTGCCACAGGCTCAGTATTAACCGGTTATTAGCATGCATATGACTATTGCCGTTTTTTAGTTCTTATCAATGCCTTATTCCACATTTTGCATCCCTTAATCCTAAACCCCAGATCTAAACTCATCAACTAGCTTACTATTAATAAGCAGCAGATTAGGAGTTTATTGAGGCTAAAGTTGTAGTTAATAGTGAGAATTGGACCCCAATCTAAAGTGTGACCAATTCTGCTTCATATTAACACCAACATGTTAGGATAACTTAATGTATATTATACAGTATATTGTATGCATCAGTATAAATATGCATGCCTGATACAAGCCACTTGTCTTATCTACAAACATTAAAGTTTGATGTGTTTGCTGCGTGATAGTGATGCACAGTAGGCTTCTGAGTCACAGTTTCTGCAGAGCACACTGTTAGTCTTCGGTGTGTTTATCTGCAGCGGAGCACAGGTGGATGTGATACGATACGCATCTGACTGTAAATACAGCTGGAGCTGCAGATGCAAGCTCTTGGTCAGTGCTATTAATAGCTTCACACCAGAGACAACAGCATGGACATCACCACAGCTGGCTATTTGCTTTCAAATCTAGCGTCGTTGTTATTATAATAATTGAAATGATATAAAGTAGTGATCAAACTTCCATAACGATTTACTATCATGTTGTTAGCAGTAGAACTAGCTGTAGCTGTTAGCTTTGTTACCTGTGTTCTGTTAACACAGACGGCTCCAGCACGGCCCACGTCTGACCTCCAGCTGGAATGGAAAGAAAACTTGATAATTAAACTCACAGAAATATTCAGTGAAGCGCAATGTGATTTCTGGGTAAACGGGGAATTGTTCAGTCGGTGCTGTGGCAGCATCACCTGCTGGCTGTCGAACAAAACACACTCACTCCACACAGCACCATTAAACGGGTTTTATTGTAGTTGCACAGTTTTTTCGTTCTCAGAACAAGCCTATGATTGATTCAGATGAGACCATGAAGATTCATGCTAAAGAGGAGCGCTTCACAAATAAACTCTCCCAGCACTTCCAGAAATATCTAACGCTTCAACACTGATCCAAAAGCAACACGTGGTACTAGAGTTACAGGACTACACACACACACACACACACGGGATAAACACAAAAATGACCTCACTGAGGATAAACAACACGACTGAAAAAATATTGGAATGTCCTGCCAATACTAGATATGCTTTATTTAAATATAAAGGGGCTCTTCGAGCTGATAAAAACAACTAAAGACACAAATATTAAGAAGAACATATCTTATTCTGCCTGTGGAAATTTTAAGCCAATAGTAAACATCATTCAGAGTCAGGAATTCTTTCTAGACTTAAATCAGACATCAGGCAAATATGACAAAATTTGATATGCGTTTTGATATGTTTCATGGGTTCAGATAACGCACTCAGACATATTTATAGTAATATATACACACACACATACACACGAAAGTGTTTTGGGTTGAATCTTAGTGACCAGTTCCGCATCCATGGAATGTGAACGTAGGACTGTACAGAATGTTACATGACAGACAGATGACACACTGTAACAAATAAACGATTCACTTAACTTTCATCTCGTTTTTTTTTTTTTCTCTGTTGCTAAATATGAATTGATTTAAATGGTCAAATCTAACATCACTTGTTTTAAGACATTAAACAAACATCGGAACATTTCACACTATGAACAGGAAAGATGAGAAAGCATATTTGTTTTGCAATTAATGCAGTTTCAAAGAAAAAAAACCCTCACATTTAATACTTCACATCAACTTGGCATCCATTGTCCTTCAAATAATTTTTCATAAATACATTATGCTAAGAACTTAATACCAAAATAACTTAACTGCAGATATTTTTAAAAGGGTTCGGATGAAGAGACCAATTCATGGCTTGCTGCTGGAAACAAAAACAGGCTAAACTGAAAATCATACAGGAGTCATAGCAGCAGGCAATGCAGAGGTCAGCCTCAGGAAAAATTAAATACATGAAATTAATCAATATAACAAAGTGGTGGCATTCAGGAATAATATCTACTGAAGGGCACTCGAAACGTTTTCATTGCTTATTATTTCCTATGCGCAAATCCCACAACAGAGCGGTTGGTTTGTGCTGCTAGGTTTGGTTATTTCTGCTCTTGCAGAAGAAGTGGTTTGATTGGTCATGCATTAGACTTAGTGGGGTAAATCTACCAGGATATCTACATAGTTGACAGGGAAGAAGCCCGAATGCCCACTGACTGTTCCTTCATACCAGTTCTCGTCAATCTTGCTAGTTAAGGTGATGACGTCTCCTTCCTTGAAGGCCAGCTCACCCTCGTTTTCAGGGTCGAAATCATACAGCGCCCGACAGCAAGGCTGGTCCATCGGAGCTGAAACGGGTCAAAAAAAGGATTGTTTAGGACATGAACTCGTGCACTGCAAAGATTTAACTCTATCACTGCCTCACCTGGTGATCTGGACGGGCCGCTGAGCCCGATGCTGCCATTGTGGTTCTCACTGAAATCCACCGAGGTGCGAGGTTTGGGGACATACTCTCTTCTCGGCTTGCAAGAAGTCTCTCTTATTCTGCATGCATACATAAATGCATCATTGTAGATAAATGAAACAAGGCAACGCAAGAGATAATGCAACACAGCGAGAACAACACCTGAGGGACACATCCTCAGATTGCTGTAAACTGCAGAATTATGAATGAAATGCTACTGAAATAAAACAATAGGTTCACTTGTGAAGTCTCTTTTTTTAATGACTATATTCAGTGCTTTCGTCTGCAACAATCATGTGAATAATCTTCATTTGTAGGCTTTTCTCAGCAAATATTTATTGACCTATGTGCGTTTAATTACATTATACATTATATCATGCAATTCATTTGATTACATTTTCATAATCGATCACAAGATCTAACAAAGAGTCCATCAGTCATAGAAAATACATTTTAACATCATTACTGGGATTGTGTCTTAAGAATTTTTTTTTTTAAATAATCATTTATATTGAATGAGTTCACAGACGAGCCTGATCTTCAGACGGCAAACATTAACTGCACTAGTTTGAAACTGTAAAACAGTTCTCTACATCAGATGCATTGTTCAAAGCTCTCGTGTTTCGTTTGGAAAACGTCACACCAATTTACCGATTACACTTCTAGCTGTTTGTACACAGCACTCTATTGTTTTACATGCGACACATCCATGCATGTGGACTTGTGTAAGAGTTCATCATTTGGTGGTTTTTGTGTGGAGTTCTGATGCAAAAGCATTTTGAGAAAAGTTAAAATAGGTTTTTGAGCACAGAGTATAGAGAAAAGGTGTCATCGCTTCTGAAACCTTGTGTATGCAATTGTCAAAAACTAATACAAATCAAAAGTAGAGCTCTAGCATTAGTTTCTCTCTCATTCGCAGTTTGCATAAGTAATAACATGAATGAATAGTGAAATGAATTGTCACGAACATACTTTTAGCTTTTTAAGAATGAATGCCTGTAGTTGCATTTTTTTTAAATTTGATTTTGTATGTTTGTGTGAGACGGGAGATCTTCCACAGACCTGTCCTCTAGTTTGCTGGAGAGCTGCTGAAGGATCTCTGCGGCCTGTCTGTGGTAGTTGACCTGAGCTTGGACCAGAGCAGAAAGCTGACTCACTTGTTCAATCTGCAGAAACACCGACAGAACATCAACAACTAGCACACATGAAAGCAAACAATGCCTCACTGAATGCATATCAATGGCTACATTTCCATGCACCCTTCGTAGCAACTACAGACAGACGCGTGAAGTACTGCGAGCTCATGTGATCGCTGCGTTATGATGACGTTCATATTTACAGCAACCATTAATCACAGCAAATATGTGACCCTGGAGCACAAAACCAGTCATAAGGGTCAATTTTATGAAATTTGTTAGGATAGGACAATATCTGGCTGAGATGCAACTATTTGAAAATCTGGAATCTGAGGGTGCAAAAAAATCTAAATATTGAGAAAATCATCTTTAAAGTTGTCCAAATGAAGTTCTTAGCAATGCATATTACTAATCAAAAATTAAGTTTTGATATATTTACGATAGGAAATTTACTAAATATCTTCATGGAACATGATATTTACTTAATATCCTAATGATTTTTGGCAT